AGGTTTGAAATGCAAATTCTGATTTCAGAGTGTTTGAGGGTCTTTTAAGGCTTGTGAAATCGTGTTTTGGCTTGTAAACAACCTCTCTATTTATAGAGTAAAGGTTTGAGGGAAAGAGAACATCAGATTCAAGATATCACATGTTATGGTTTTGAAACTTGTTTTTGAAGCAAACTTGAAATACATAGTTTCAAGGCATAGTACAAGCATGGTCTGAGTAGTTAGAGGATCTAGACAAGTTGCTTCTGGCTTTGAGATTGTGTGTGATCATAAGGAACAAGTGCAAAGCTCAAAGAGGGTGGACTTTGTGATTAAAGCGACTTTTCCAAAATGGCAATGTTACCTTTGTGCCAAAAATGGATTAATCACTTGGACAATGACTCAAATGCTTGGATCATAGCTTAATCAGTTGTGTAAAAAATTAATTATGGTGTGATGTGCAAGTTAGAATCCAGCAAAGCAATATTTATGCAGCATGGCTTGATATTTGATCAAGTGTTCTTCATGAAAATGCCTTGTAATTCAAGAATGGATGCTCAACTTCTTCTCTTCGATTCTAATAGATCAAGCATGATCTCTTCAAGTTCTTGGACATTTTGGAAAGCTTGAAACATTTTCTACAACATTAATGTTGACCATTTTGGCTAAATCATCTTGGAACTTGGTAAAAAATTGCCAAGAAGTTGGGACAAAAAATCTGCCTAACTTGATGAAAATTTCACCAAGTGTTTTTTATAAAAAGTCATGACTTCATGGGCCATATCTCTTAATATAAGCATTTTTTGGACATCAACCATCAAGGAAAAAGTTGTAGAATTCATTAAGATCTCCAACTTTCATTTTGAAAGTCTTCCTTGAATCATCTTACATCTTGGTGAAAAATTGTCATGAAGTAGTGAAATTATCAAGGATAAAAAATACTTAGAATTTTTCTAAGTCTTGAAAATCTTGACTTTTTGTTTAATTTCTTGATTCTTGATGATCAAGTTTGATATTTTTGATGTCTTGATGATTCTTTATCTTTGAAATTCAATGTTGACCAAAAAGTCAAAGTTTGACTTTTTGTGTATCAGTTGACTTTTCATCAGTTGATCAAATTTCAACTATCAATCCATTGATCTTGAGAAATGATTTGAGTTATGAAATTAGGTCAAGATATTTTGTTTGAGTCCTTGAGATCATGCTTCAAGCCATTAGTTCATGTACTAGGTCAAAAGCCACTGATCAGTCATTCTCAATCAAAACCCTAATTTTGACAATTTTACCCCTTTGATGATTTGAATGCTTTTCTTGAGGAATTATGATCAAAACTTGATCAATTGATGAATATGAATTCAAAATGTTTATGTTGGCCAAAAATCATGAATTTTGACTGTATGTTGACCACAATTGACTTTTGACCCAATACAACTGATTTTCAATCATCTGAGCAATTGACTTAGCAAATTTGTGAAGCAAGACTTGAAACTTGGTATGAGTATTCTTGGAGACCTATAATGAACCATGAAAGTCATTTGAGACATTAAAAGTTCAATTATCCTTGAGAAAACCAAAACCCTAATTTGAACCCAATGCTTAGGAGGTGAGTTTGTCTGATCAACTCTTGAGAACCCTTGAGTATTTGAGATCTTTCTTGAGAAAAGAGAGGGAAAATTTTGGGGTACAAAAGCAGGGTATCAAAGTTCCCCAATGATACTCATAAAATGTAAATAAACTTGTGTCAGAGAATGATCAAAAATTAGTTGGCTTAAAATCTCATGATTGTTATGTCTTAATGCAACAACTTATACCAGTGGCTACCTGTGGTATCTTACCAAGAAATGTAAGGGTGACTATAATCAGATTGTACTTATTCTTCAATGCTATATGCAGAAAATTTATAGATCATGGAAATTTAAATGAATTGGAACATGAAGTTACAATTATCTTGTGCCAGTTAGAGATGTTTTTTCCTCCATCATTTTTTTGACATTATGGTTCACTTAGTTATTCATATAGTAAGGGAGATTAGAATTTGTGATCCAGTTTATTTGCGGTGGATGTATCCGATAGAGCGTTATATGAAGATTTTCAAAGAGTATACAAAGAATCATCATCGTCCAAAAGCTTTGATCGTAGAAAGATACATCACATAAGAAGCTATTGAGTTTTGTACAAACTATTTGTCAGATTCAAAATTTGTAGGAGTGCCCGAGTCTCGTCATGATGGATTTTATGAAGGTAGAGGTATTCAAGGCTTAAATGTTAAGACATTTAGTCGAGAAGTATTTTTTCAAGCATATTTGTATATATTAAATAACCTTAGTGAAGTTGATCCTTATTTGACCGTGCACAGAGATCTTATAAAGGAATAATACCCCCATATGAATGAAAAATGGTTGTTGATAAAGCATAACAGAACTTTCATAGATTGGTTTAAGGAAAGTATTTCCAATTAAAGTGGTGCGTCGAATATTTGCAAATGGTTGTCACGTTTTCCTAAGTTTAATATAATTATTTGGAGTGCATACAAAATCAAAGGATGATCGTAGCACCACGCAAAATAGTGGTGTTATGGTTGAGGCCGAATCCATGTACTTTTCTAGTTCCAAAGATAACAATCCAGTACTAACATCTAAAGCGTTATTTGGGATCATTAAGGAGATTGACTATGTTTTTTTTAAATGCCTTTATTTAAGTGCAGGTAGATTGACAGTAAAAATGGTGTAGAAACTGATGAATTAGGATTCACAAGGGTTGATCTTCGAAAGGCTACTTACAAGAACGAACCATTCATCATGGCAAACCAAGCAAAACAAGTTTTTTATGTCACTGATCCGTCTAACACTAGATGGTCAATTGTTCTTCAAGGAAAACATCTTTCTGATAGTACTGATGAAAATCAAGATTTTAAGTATAAGACTCCTTGTTTAGCAACACATGTAAGTCAATCATCTGAATAAAATGACTTAGATGACGTGCATGTTATTCGTCATGATCATGAAAAGGGTATATGAGAAAACTAGTAAGTAAATGATTTATTGCTTTTGTTTCGTAATCATTTGTTTTAGTTTTGATGTAAAATTATAAAATGTGTGTCATTATAGTTTCGTAATCATTTGTTCCATTTTGTGTAATCAATGAATATTTCTGTTTCAAATTGAGAAATGGGCGCACCATTTTAGGTTTGCGTTGGTTCTGTATTATATTTTCCGTGATTTTGTATTTTGTAATTCAGGTGCAGACGACAGCAGGGGAAAAAAACCCATCGGTTTCCAAAATTAACCAAAGTAATAATTTTGATATATTACCTTGGTTTATCAGAAAACTGAGTGTTAATAAGGGGCGCGCAATCCAATTATGAAAATAATAAAAATGCCAAGGATAGGAATCGAACCCACGTGCATTTAACATAATGCCTCAATATTTTAATATCCGAGGTGATAAAAGATAACCTTTTATGACGACCTTACTTATCTTGAATCTGAAACAAACAATTAATATATTTCGCGTTCGATATAATATGTGTTTTTTATAGTAGTATATATTTAATATATTCTTCCATGTAACCACCTCCTTGTAGGATCTGATGTGATCAGATGATTGTTGTCGACTGTTATTTACTTTTTTAATCTTTTGTGTGCTTATCTTTTACATATCTATCTCATCTACACTCTTCCCTGACTTGTCGGAGAAGAGATTGTCAGAAAGCTCATTATCAGATAAGAGTTTAATTACACACAATTTAAAATTTAAAATTATATCATGAATTGATTCATAAAATCCATAAGAATAATAATAAATATTGATAATTATTGTTCTCTTACATATTAATATTCACATTTTATAACTCTTCTATTTCATTTATGAAAATATTTTTCCACTTCTTCTTTCTTTATTTTCTCAACCCCAATTATTAATCCTTAATAATATCTCAAATAAATTTTTTCCTCTACTATATATAAAAAATAGTTGATAACATGTTGTAAACACATGATATAAATTTCTAATTCTCATATATATAATTTTAAAAGAAACTTTCTATATAATTTAATACATAAATTATAGTTAATTTTTTTTAAATTAAAAAATGTTTTATCTATTTTCTAAAAACAAAATCATTATCAATTAAAAATATTTTTGGTCAAAATTATAATATTTATTTTTATTACATATTTCTCTAATAAAAGTAAAATACTATTTATATAATTATTCATGTAAATAAAAATATTTATTTTAAAATATTAAATCTAAACATTCAACATAAAAAATTTTAAAATGATTTTTAATGACAAAAAATTAAGTAAAATCAAATAGACACACATTATAATAATATATTTTAAAATAAAATATTTAATTTCATTCATTTCAACATGAACATAATTCTAATTAAAAAATCACCATTAAAAAGAAAACACAAAAAAAAATGTATTTACTACCAAAAAAGATAAAATACAATTTGATATTAAAAAATTATATCTACTATTAATAAAGTTGAGGTCAAATAAAAAAAATTATTCTTATTGAATGTTTAAAATCAAATAAAAACATTTAAATTAAAATGACACATATATCTTTTATCATATTTTTTAAAAATAAATCATTTATATTAACATAGAATTTATCTACTTCTCGCATTTATGTGAGTCCGTGCAGGTCATATTCTAGTTATAGTTAGAATAAGAAACAAATATGAATTCTCTATAATTAAGAAGACAAAACAGGTATCTTAATTCTTAACCACTATGCTACAACGTTGACCTGGAATGTGCCTGCCCCTCATGGGGTTTGTTTACACACCTTGTCTTTTCTTATGTTTTGAAACCCGTTCTTCAACCTTTGATAATTCTCCTTGTGAACAGAATTTACAAAAATAAATAAATAAATTCTTTCATGGGGTGATTTCAAATAACTTTTCAAATTGCATTTTGCAATTGTGCATCATCACATACAATTGCAATTTCAATTACAAAGATTGTATGCAATTTGCATATCAAAATTAGATCATTGAATAAAATTTAATGAGTTTCTCAAATGTTACCTATTCCCTTATCACAAACCCCGACAATACACAACGGGTGTGTTTCAATAAGATTCAATCACACGGTTCATCGCTTTGGATTGACAATGCTTTAGAACAAACACTACCTGCATTTGTTCTTCAATTTGCTCTTACAATTGCACTCAACCGTGCTCTCCTCTTCCTCGCCGAATCATGCAATGTACCTCGCATTGTTCCCAACATTTTTGTAAGCACATTCATCACATTCCATAAATCTTTATATTTTTGTAATGAATTTGAGCGTCACATATATAGATATATGTTTTTTAATATAGTTGTTTGTTAAAATGTGAACTAACTTTTGTGGATATTTTGCTAGTCTGGTTTTTTATTAGGTTCATCAGCTTTGGGGAAATGGAATCCTTTTTTCAACAATGTATTCCCTTTCGACAATATGTTACCATTAGAGACAATGGGAGCATTAACACTTGTTTACTACGCGTTCTTGCTTGGCTTAGAACTCGACTTGAAACCGATTACAAGGTTTTACTACAATAAGAAAGCAATTGTTGTTGCACTTGTTGGTTTAGTCTTTTCTTTACCCACTGGTATTGGTTTATACTACCTTCTTATAACCGATATGGGTCGCAAGTCATTGTCGCTTTTAGATAATGATAAACACATGAGAGGTGCAATATTTTGGGGGCTAACACTTTCTTGTAGTAGTGAGTTTCCTGAGGTTGCTAAAATCCTTTTGGATTTGAAGCTTTTGCTAACGGAGAATGGACAGTTGGCGTTAACTTCTTCGTTGATTAATGACTTGTTCTCCTGGACATTGCTTTTGATGGTTCTGACACAATTATATTATGCTTCGTTGTTTTCGCTATTTGTCATCCTCGTACTTGTGTTGGTGTGTTTTTATGCGATTCATCCTTTAGCTAAGTGGCTTGTTAAAAAATTTGGGAATGGTGATCGCGAGTTTGTCGAGTCAGAAGTTGTTGTTCTTCTTCATGTGGTTTTGCTCATTGGATTAGTCTTTGATGGGTTAGGTGCACATTCTATAACAGGAGCTTTCTTTTTAGGGGTTATTATTCCGAAGGGTTCGCTTAACAATGCAATTCAAGATAAGGCTTTTGATTTTGTGTCTGTGTTCATGATGCCACTGTTTTATCTCATTATTGGGGAGAGAACACATATTCAAGTTTTGGCTTGGGAAACGCATTGCACAACCGTTGTGATTGTTATTGTGTTGGCTTTCTTGGTAAAATTGGGATGCATATTTGCAGTTTCTTGGATATATCAGATGCCACACATGGAAGGATTATCGCTCGCACTTCTCATGAATACTAAAGGAACAATGCCGTTAATCATTTTGCACACCGCCATGGATAGACGCGTAAGTTTCCTAACAACATGATTTAAGGTTGATTAGCATATTAAGACTTTAAAATGCTATCAAATTGATATAAGTGTATATGCATATATACTTGTAATGTAGGAACTGGGTAACCAACCCTTTGTGGTGATGTTGTTGGCATGTTGGTTAATGACAGCTATTTCTGGTCCTATCTTAGCTATGATCACAAAAACCCTTACTACAGGCAGAGTTCCTGGAGGTCAAAGGAAGAATATGAAAGGCACACGACCAGACTCATCACTTAGAGTGTTGGCCTGTGTCCACTCAAAACACGATGCCAATGCCATTGTCGACCTTCTCAAAGCATCAAGTCCATCAGTTAGGTCCCCTATTCAGGTACGAGGTTGTTCTTTCCAATAGTCTTTGTATAATTTTTGTGGTGCGGAGTTTGTACTATCTAGCAACTCTCCCAATGCTACAAAAAAAGTTTTATGCATATAACCAAATCATATTTTATCATGGTGTTATGATGTGGTATTACTTTCTCACATATATTCAAAATGTCTACATGAAACAATTTGATTGAATTTTCTTTGTTAAATTTGTATTTGTGATGTGACATACATGTTTATATATCAAATTCAGGTGTTGGCAGTGGAGTTGATCAAGATGACAAACCGGCCAACTTCATCACTAATAGTAAAAGATGCTAGGAAGCCATCATTTCGCTCAAATTCAAGCAGGTTAGACAGCATAAAACGAAACAATGGTGACAACCTTGGTAGCTTCGACAACCTCAGCCAAGCCATCTTTGCTGACAAACTCAGAGTTATCTCCCAATATAACTCTATGCACAAGGATATCATAAACCTCTGCACCCGCAGACATGTAAACCTCATTGTAACCACTCTATACAAACAAGCGACTTACGATGGATTAGGTGTTGGCACCGCTACCGCTAGAGCCATGAACATAATCAACAGAGACCATGAAAACAAAGATGAGAAGAAAATAGTGTTGGAGAATCTAATAAAAGAAGCACCATGTTGTTTAGCCATTTTTGTCGATCGTGGTTTCAGCGGTGATGAAAACCATCCTAAAGAGAAGAAAATAGCAATGTTCTACATTGGTGGTGTTGATGACCGTGAAGCACTTTCTTATGCTTGGAGAATGAGCAGGAACATGGAGGTTCAATTAACAGTGGTTAGGCTTGTTTGGGACAATCCTGAAGATGAGTTTGATGAAGTGGACAAAGAATATTTAAAAGTGTTTGCACATCAAACAATACATTCGCCAACAGTGAGGTATCTGGAGAAAATGGTGAAGAACGAGAACGAAACTGTGAAGCTTTTAAATAGGATAGGGAATAAAGGATTTGATATGTATATTATTGGGAGAGGACATGGGAGGAAGATGTCATTGGCACAAACAGTTGATCCTGTTTTGGATGAGCCTATTTTGGGTCCTCTTGGGGATACTTTGTCAGATTTGAATTCTGCTTCTAAGACATCTATCTTGATATTTCAAAGAGATGCTGAAGCTCAGTGTGGTGGCGGGGGTGATGGTTTGGGGAAACATGATGTTTCTGCGACGCCTGTGCGGTTTTTTGGTGGTGGTGTGAATTCACAACAGGAGATGTTTGATCCACCAACGACATTAGGTCACAATATTGATGTATAAAGATCATTTTGGGTGAATGGTGGAAATATTATCATTAATGGCTAGAGAGTACTGTTGTGAGAATTGATACATGACTCCTGAAAAACTGACTTGTACATATTTCTTGTTTCCTTGAAGAAGTCTCTTAGGTAGAGTATGGAGAGTGAATTGGTACTTGACTACGATTGTTTTGTATTTGTAGTCGCAGACGTAGACACACTTGACTGAACTGTTCTCATTTTCATGCGAATGGTCTCTTTTCTGCAAACTTAATGTTAATTGTTGCGCCAACAATGATGAATGGTTCTAGTTATGCTTTGAAATCAGAGTTATATATAAACACATTATGTAAGATTAAGGTTGCGCCTAAGAGGGGGGGTGAATTAGGTGATGGTCGATTTTTGACTTATTTTATACTTTCTGGTTTTGATATAGTGCTTTGAAAACTGTAAAGTGCAGAAAGTAAAGAGACACGGAGAATTATCCTGGTTCCTTCCACAACCCGGAAGTACGTCCAGTCCCCTTGCAAACACGCAAGAGATTTTACTATATTGTTAGAACTTTTACAAGACTCTTCCTAGTCTTATCCACTAAAGAACCTAACAAATAACCAAGAACACCCTCTTGGATTTCCAATAAGTCTAATGAGAACAATCCTCTCAAAAGATACCTCTTGTTTCCAATAATGGACAACAAGGAACAAAAAATAATCTAATACTTAATTCCAACAATCCTGGAAATAAGTTACACTTTGTATGTTTTTATGAAGTATGATTTCTTGAAAGATGTTGATCACTTAGAGTGACTTCTTTGAAGTTTCTTCTTTCTTCTCTTGTAAGCAATTCAAACTGTAACACAATGGTTAGATAATGCTCAAAGATTTCTGTTCTTTATATGTGTGAAAGTGCAGAAAATCTTTGTTCTTAAAAGTTAAGAAATATGAAGTTTGAATATTTTACAAAGTTCAGATTTTATTGCAAGAGAAGTGTTGTTTATGATTTGAAATATTTTGTAATATATAGTAATCAAGATACCTTTCCAAAAGGACACTTTTCTGTTTGTGAAACTTGACAAGATGCAATGTTTGATCATGCAACTATTGGAGAAAAGGTGTGAAGGATATCTTGAAAACATTTCAGATTTTTCAAAATTTTCAATGTGCAAATCGATTAACATAACATGCAAATCGATTGCACGTGTTTGTAACGTTCAGTATTTCAAAAAGTTTGAAGTGTAAATCGATTAGCATGTTGTGTCAATCGATTTACAAGTGTTAAAAAATCAGTTTGTTCTGTGATCAATCGATTTACACAACCTGTAAATCGATTGCTGGCAGGAGCAAACAGTTTTTGAAAAAGCATGTGTAAATCGATTTACACAAGATGTTAATCGATTTACAGCAGAGAAAAACTTAAAAATTGTTTTTGAAATATACTTGAAGTGATGTGGCAAGTGTGTATATCATTTTTGAGCATTTCTAATCAATGTAGTTTAATTGAGAATTGATATACTTGATTGCTTGCCAAGTTCCTTGAAGCTTTGAGTGAATGATGCTTTAAGATGATTTCCACTTCTTTTCCTTCTTTCCACAATGCTTGTTTGTCTTTCATCACACTAGCTTGTTTGTCTTTCATCAAAACTAAAGTTGAGTTGAGGCTTGAGATTACATTCTCCCCCTTTTTGATGATGACAAACCATTTTCCTTTATGTGTTGATCAGAATTTGAGCAAAAGGTGTTTTCTCCCCCTGAGAAGATTTCTCCCCCTATGGAGAAAAAGATTTGAAAATTTGCTCTGTAAAGACAATGAAAACAAACAACCATAAAGTGCTATTACATCCTTCTCCCCCTTTGACATTATCAAAAAGAAGGGAAAGATGTAACAAGAAAGTATACCAGAAAGAAATGTATAGGAACATGAATGAAAAACACAAAACTTTCAAGATTATCGAACAAAGTTTTAAGAACACAATACATAAGATGAACAGAATAAAACAAGACAAAATCCATAATGATACTTATACTAAGAATTTAAGAACATTGATCAAGAACATTTTAAAAAGGTCCTTGATAAGGAAATTGTTGTTGAAGAGGTGGTTCGGTGTATTGAGGAGGCGGAGGTGCAGGATTGGTTGGGTCGTATGGAGGGATGTGAAGATGTGAATAAAGATATGAAAATTGTTGGTTCACATCATTCTGAAAAGCATCTATCCGAGATGAGGTAGAGTCATTTATCTCCGTCCATCGAGCATTGATGTTAGAATTCAGAGAAGCAAACTGTTGCGTCATGAAATCCATAACATCTTGATTTGTGGGACCAGAAGCAGCAGCAGCAGGAGGAACTTCATGGTCTTCTTCATCTGCATTTTGACCTTCATCGCCGACCACATCTTCTCCAATGTAAGTTATGGTTTTTGCTTCAGCATTGAAATGAACACCCATCCTTGAATCAACATTTTTGATGGAGATCCTAGTGGAGATTGGATCCATTTCAATTCGCTCAAATCCAGTGAAATCTATATCATAAGCTTCCATAATCCTTGTAATGAAATATGCATATGGTAGAAAAGTGGCCCTTGCGGCAACTTTTAGCATATGCATCACAATCAATTTTGCCCAATTGACCGGGATTCCATTTTTCCTTGCATAGATGATTTGAAGCTCTAGGTCGGTCACCGTACAATGATTCCCTGCTCTAGGAAACAAAATATACACCAGAAAGTAGTGAAACAACCTATCATCAATATGGAAATTTCCAGCACTCCATGTATCCCTAGCTGGAGTAACCCCGCCAAGACTGCGAATCCGCTTGGCACGGTATTCAGATTCTGATAACCTGCCAATGCTATAGAAAAAATCTCGCTTCTGATAGTTTTCCCAAGCAGCATCTTCTGGATCATAAAGGGTACTTCCAGAATATGGAATGTTCAAGATTCTGCCAAGAGTTTTGGAATACAGAGGGATTCTTTTTCCAAGGACATATGTATAACATTTGTTGTTGTCATAGCACATGTTGCTGTAGAAAATTTTAACCAGATCCGGGTAATAGAAACCATGTGAAGATATTAATGGTTCTAACCCATAAGCAATGAAATCTCTTTGAAATGAGAAGCATTCATCTGGAAAAGTAGATAACATACCAAACTTTGGAGTAGAGACGATTTTCTTTTGAAAATGCTTGAGGAATCTGTCCCGCTGTGGATCCGTGAGGTACTCGAGCACAGAGTTTTCAGATGATGACGAAGCTGGCTTCTTTCCTTTCTCTGAGGCAGAGGCTTTTCTCTTGGGAGCCATGGATCTTGTTAGGGTTTTGAAAAGAGAGATATAGAGTTCTTTTGTTATGTGAGAGAGTGTGTTGGTGTTATGAGATAGTGAGGGAGTTTTGGTGAGATTAAATAGTATAGTAGGGTAAGTGAGGTCTTTTATGAGACTTTAATTTTGTAATTTGGTCAAGGTTTTATTGATTGGGCAATAGAAAGGTGGGAGGTTGAGAGACAATGAATGTTTGACCAATATATTAAAAGCTCATTATAAGTATCACATGTTAAAACAAAATACATTGCATAGAGAAAATACATAAAAAATGCTTCAGATTCTGTGGTAAATCGATTTACCCCTTGGTTAAATCGATTTACACAGAACATTTTTCATAAAAAGTAATTTTCGTTCAGTGGTAAATCGATTTACATATTGTGTAAATCGATTTACACACAAGATTTTATTAAAAAAAAAATGATTTGCTTCAGTAGTAAATCGATTGACATATTGTGTAAATCGATTTACACAGTAGATTTTAATAAAAGAAATGGTTTGCTTCAGTAGTAAATCGATTGACATATGGTGTAAATCGATTTACTTAAAGAAAAATTTTAAAAATCATTATTTTTTAACATTTGAAACAATGTCTAACCACATATATATGTACATTAAGGTATAGTTAAGGATTGAGTGCACCTTAAATATCTTGTTCATCGAGGATTCCAAGTTCACGACGAATTTTGAAAAATGCATCCTTTGCAAGTGGTTTTGTGAAGATGTCCGCGAGTTGATTTTGAGTGTCCACAAATGTGATCTCGACATCTCCTTTGAGTACATGGTCTCGGATGAAATGATGTCTGATGTCAATGTGTTTCGTCCGGGAATGCATAACTGGATTTTTCGTAATATTGATCGCGCTTGTGTTATCACATCGAAGAGGAATGCATCCAAGGTTTACTCCATAGTCAAGTAATTGTTGTTTTAGCCAAAGAATTTGAGCGCATCCACTTCCAGCCGCAATGTATTCTGCTTCGGCAGTGCTGAGAGCTACGCTTGCTTGCTTTTTGCATGACCATGAAACCAAGGCATTTCCAAGAATGTGACATGTTCCACTTGTACTTTTGCGATCAGTTTTGCAACCTGCATAGTCAGCATCAGAATAACCAACTAGATTGCACATACTACCTTTTGGATACCATAATCCGACGTTGGTTGTTCCTTTGAGATATTTTATTATGCGCTTGACTGCTGCAAGGTGAGACTCTTTAGGATTGGCTTGATATCTTGCACATAGGCAAACGCTGAACATAATGTCAGGTCTACTTGCTGTTAAATAAAGGAGTGAGCCAATCATTCCACGATACTTAGTTATGTCAATAGAATTTCCTGATTCATCTGGGTCAAGATAGGTGCCGGATCCCATAGGAATTGCACTTTCTTTGCTACTTTCCATCTCAAACTTCTTTATAAGGTCTTTGCAATATTTTGATTGGTTTACGAAGATACCATGTTTGAGTTGCTTAATTTGAAGACCAAGAAAGAAATTCAATCTTCCCATCATAGACATCTCAAACTCTCCTTGCATCATAGACGAAAATTCCTTGCACATATTTTGGTTAGTTGAACCGAAAACAATATCATCTACATAGATTTGTACAAGTAAGGTATGATGATTAACATTTTTTATGAAGAGAGTGGTATCAACTTTACCCTTTACAAACCCTTTTTCACATAGGAATGCGCTTAGTCTATCATACCAAGCCCT